AGAGTATGTCCTTTTCTACGTGTATCTTTACCCCCACTCCTTAAATAAAGGCAAACGCTCGGTCTAGATATACTATGTCTATGGAGTACGCTATGTTACGTGCGAGCGAGAGAGAACGCAAGGGGCACGAAACAGAGTATGTCCTTTTCTACGTGGGCATCGGCCCCCACTCCTTAAATAAAGGCAAACGCTCGGTCTAGATATACTATGTCTATGTGTTTTTCTATGTGCCACGGCCCTTAAGGTGCGAACCCATGCAGCGGAATAGCGTAATGCAGAACGAAAGCAGAACCAATCACGAGCGTTACGCAATTTCGTTCAGTTTTCAATGGTTTCCAGCTGAATAGGTTTCGCAGATCGTGTAATGTACATAAATATTTATTTAGACAACATAAAATAAAATATTTATATAATAAAATAAAATATAATAAATCTTTTAATGTCATGATGCGAACAACTAATCTATTGCGACATTGCTGCAGAGTTTTTCTTTTTCTTTGTTGTTGTGTGATAATTCGTTTTGCTACTTTTAAAGCCTTTTTAGCTTTTCTAGGTGTAGCTAGATGTGGTGTTCTAATGTCACCAATAAAACGAGGTTCATATATTTTAGCCTTCATAGATGTTTCAAAATTTGAGCATCTTCGTCTCTCAGTGGAGATAGATCACCATTTCCTTTTTTTGATGATCTTTCAATTCTCGTAGTTGAATCTGGTGTTTCAATGATGCCACAAGATGATTGAAGATCATCTTTTGCAGATGTGTGGCAATTCAACTGAGCATTTTCGATACTTTGCAGTATAAATTGGCTGTCAATTATCGCAGAGATATCTAGAAGATCATTAATCGTCAATTAATTAATTTATTCTCATTAATTTCAATTAAAAGGTATAAAATCAGTAATCATTATTACCTTTTATTGATGCATTGTAATCAATATTGTCAATAGCAAAGTGTAATTTCTTTTTTGCGCTACAATAAACTTCACTGATAGAAGAATCCGATTTTGGAGATATTTTTTTTTTCTTTCCACGAAGAGATGGCACAGTATTGGGTTTTAAACAGGAGCCTTTAACTTTCTTCATAATATCTTTTTTTTGAAAATGACTTGAACATAATTTTGTGACAGTATTAAGAACGTGTTCATCGATTTCACAAAATGTTAGCCATTGCTATTGTTTCCTCTTTTTGGGGAAATCTATTAATAAGAAAAATAATTAATTTTATAATTTACAATGTAAAAAATTATAATATGTTTTTTTAACTTCACATAAAATCTAACCTAAAATTCACATAATAAACTCTACAATATAAATAGACACAAAAAGTTACATTTACTTACGCATAATAGGAAACCGATTTATCACGATTGCCGCACAGTACGCAATGTACGCAAGGCATTTTTATATTAAATTAATGATATTTTACTAATTTAATTTGATTTTACACTGTTAGAAATAGTTCTGTTAGAAATAATTCTGCAAACCTGCAACAACTCGATTTAATACTCGATAAATCGTCGCTAACGCAAGCGCACAGAGAACGATTAGGAATCTATACCTTACTCTCTCGCACACATTTTGGACACAATTTCAATCCATAGGAAACATAGGCAATTCCCTCTTCAGGTATATATGCTCTAAGGTCTCTTAGGACTCTAATGTCAGACAAGGAGCGACAATCGCGTGCTATCCTTGTTCTTCTAATATATCGCTTTACGGTCGAGATACGGCCTGAAAATGCTTTCTGCCTCTCGTGGCAGAAAGCAGTAATGCAAGAAAAATAATGGGCGTCCATTTTTTGAGAATTTTAGATTTGCGTATATACATATATTACATTAAAAAAAAACCTTACGAAGGTAAAAAAAAATATGCCAAGTAAATAAAAAATATTCTTGTACACAACAAATTGAAAATATATTTACTTCTAAAAAATAACTTATAAAAAAATTTTTCCCTAAAAAATAAAAAATAGGAACTAAATATGAAATCAATAGTTGACTAGATAGCAAAATGCTAGCAACCCAGATAGCAAAATGATAAATTTAAATAAATAATTTAATTTATTAATAATCCGTAAATTTCAAGATTTGCATGGAAATTGAATTCTTTATTTTGTTTCAAGAAATCAATAAATGGACAATTTTTTATTGATCCATTCGCTTTCCAAACTTTTAGTTTAATATTCTGAATCCTTTGTTAGAATTCAGAAATTAAGCGGATAAAATAGATATTATGGCAACGCTTGCCGCGTCGCCACGTCCTGTGAGCAGGAGTCATTACACATTTTTAATCTTGTTAATCGCGCTTTGCGATCTTTATATTTGCCTGTAACAGAAACTTGATTACGAGACAGATAAATCATATAGCGGTAAACAAAAGAACTGTAATTTGATATATAATAGCATATCTTAATATTGCTGTGATTCTACCATTATTTTATGACAACAGATCATGCTGTATATTTGCTGTGTTTTTGCTATTATCTTTTGAAATGGTAGTGCATACTTAATTTTTGCAGCATTTCTGCCGTTATGCTGTGCTTGCAGATAAACTCGATTTCTAATGATATAGCATGATGAGTCATGTTATGTTCAGTTTTTATTTAGCTTCTGTTGACATATTGTGCCAACACGCAATGCTTTAAATCTACTGTTTTTATGTCAAGAACTTCTGTTTAAATTTTGCAGCATTTTTTGTAGCATATAATGATGCAGAGATTGCTTGTTTTCTGTTGCATTTCTGCCGGCACTAATTAAAATGGTAAATCATGCGCGGCTGCTGCCAGAGTTCTACCGATATAATATATAATACATAATTTGTAATACGTGATCGGGCAAACTTGGCAATCTGGGAGTATGCCAGCAAATTCAATCATGACTTCGCAGCAGATTCCGCTCTGCTGCGTCCTTATTAAGCTTAATTTCTGGCAGCACGGCTTGCCGATATAATATAACAGAGAAAATAGAGCAAAAATCGAGTATTATTTGTTATTACGTCGTGACAGCAGATATGTAACAAATATCGAGCAAAGTCTGCCATATCAGATCTGACGGCAGAAATGCGACAGAAATCAAGCATGGTCTGCCGTTACAACGCCACAGTGGATCGAAACATGGAAAGAGCGGACATGGGCCAAAAAAATTTTTTTTAAATATTCTTTGTTAATTAACAAATTTAGGTTGTAAATAGTTCAGAACAACTAGAAATGACCGATTTTCCGAAAAATCTCTTTAATATTCATGTCAAACCCCATACAGCACAGAACATTGCAATTACATTGCAGTAATGTTACAATCTTGCAAGTTGCAATGTAATGTTGTTGAGACATTATTGGAACATGTAATTGTAATATTTCATGAGAATGTTACAGCAACATTCCAAAAGCATTACAAAAACAGTTTTCAGTAACCACTAGTTCGTTCGTTTACCGCCATACGACGCCCGTTGCATTATATATCTCGCATTTAAGTTTCAGTCACGATGATTATATAAAGCTTGCAAAGAGCAGCTAGTAAGATTAAAGATATATAACTATTTTTATATCAGTTTAATATACGATCCCAATACAGGGATTTATTATTGTAATCTTACATTGTAATATTTCTAAGGGCGGACATTTCAACGTTGCCGCAGGCTTGCAGTAACATTGCAGAAACATTTCGCAACTTCTATGCAATATTACAATGTTTCAATGCGAGGTCTATGCAACATTTCTGCAATCTTTCGGTGCTGTATGGGACATCGCTCTGAACCTTATAACTCAGATGGATTTCTTTTCCTGTCATTTTATCCATGAAGCTTCAAGGCAGTACAGCTCTTCCATATCCAAATATTTGGAAACCAATTTTTCACATGTTAATAACATTCTTTCTTGATGAAGAAAAATGTTTATGTGGAACATGTAAACATTAGTGTAAAAAGAAAGGCGGCCATTCTTCTGTATCCAAAGAATCGAATATTATAAGTAGATTCAAGTTGTCATATAAAAAAATGGCCAACAGTGGCCAAAGGTTCTGTTGGTTTTACATATTTAAATAAACCTTCTATTTGACGAATCCATTGGTTTCCGCTGCCCGTAGGTGCCCATTTATAAAATAAAAGAGAATTTCAAGGGGAAAATATGGGGCAAAGATGCGTTGGTGATAATGACGAGAAGTTTCACTGTTTGATTTCGCAATTTTTTAACGTTTTCTTAAGTCATAAATTGTGTGTATGTCGCAATTAATAATTTTTAAGTCATAGATTGCAATATAGGAGAGATCACACGCGCAAAATTAACAGGACTGCTACGAATAAAGATCTTCCTAACCATCTCTTAATCACATCTGATCCTTTCATCTCGTGTTTACGACCAAAATTTAGTGAAGGAAAAAAAACAAGATTTGTTCTTCGAAACTCGAGAACTTCTAAAATAATTCTTTTACTCTGTCTTTTTTCTCTTTTTATTTCATTAAGGTACATCAGGATGAGTTTGGAGTCAATAAATACCGCGAAAGTGACGAATCGCGGTGTCTCATTCCTGTGCGGTTTTTATATATTTTCATGTTTATTTTTATATGTATGTTATTTTTATATTATGTATATATTCGTATATATGTGTCATAACAAAAATAAGCATCGCACGGTTTGTAATTCTCATAGCTACGACAAATCATGGGGTCCTTATCTCTGCTATGACACACACACACACACACACGGGGGGGGGGCGGTGCAAGGGGGGCCCTTGGCCCCTGCCAACCCCCCTGTGTGTGTGTGTGTGTGTGTATGTGTGTGCGCGAGCGTGTTTCCTGTCCATGCATGTACTTTGGTATATTTCAAACTTTTTTTGTTAATGACTTTTTAATAAGCAACGAGCGACGATTAAATTAGAAGAAAAAGTTACTCAGAATTATGTCCTTGACAACATATATCAAGGTCAAGGTCATTGGGGCTGGGTCCCCTTTTCGCTATATTTACCTTTAAATGCATTTTATTTTTATTAAAAAATTACACTTTTATGTCCCCCCCCCCCAAATAAATATTTTGTATAATATATAATAGCACTATTATATTGCGGATTCTATTACATATAATAAATCATAAAACTACTTAACTCTTACTGCAATAACGTTGATCGCATCGATCACCAATTTCGAATTTAAAAGTGCCCCGTGCCAAACTGACCGACTTATTTTAAAATTAATCATAAAAGCTTTACCAGATTTGCTATTTTAATTTAAAAATAAAATGCGTTTCAATTTTCTTGAGAGAATCTATAATATTTCTATAAATGTAAGATTGATTTTAGGACAAATGCTATTTCAAATTACAAATCCTCACAAACTGAATTGCTTCTACACGTACTTGGCTAGTGAACTATTGGTTTCATATTTAATTTTAATTTTTTATTTTTTAGAGACAAATTTTTTTAAAGTTATTTTTTGAAAGTAAATATATTTTTAAACTTTTGTTATGTACAAGGATATTTTTTATGTACTTGGCGTACTTCTTTTTATTTTTGTGAGGATTTTTTAATGTGATAACACTGCTTTTTATAAAAATTTAAAATTCAAAATTTTTTCTGCGAAATATAAAGTACTACATTATACACTATATACAGGGTGTATCCTAAAAAGTGGGAAGTATTGCAATGGGGGATTCAGGACACAAAAATAACAGTAAAAGTTCATATAAACATATGTCCGATATGACCTTGTTTTCAAATTATAGCTTGTTTTATTTTCCAATAAAGTTAAGATAGCATACTTGGATATCGGTTTGTTGTTTATGTACAAGATTTAAAGGACTTTTGCCTGGCCAGCTCGCTCTCCAGACCTGAATCCACTCAATTATTACTTGTGGGGGCATCTAAAATCCATTGTTTACAAAACACCCATTGACAACGTCGAGATACTTCGTCAACGTGTTGAAGATGGTTACCGGGAAATTCAAACAATACCCGGAATTTTTGAAAAAGTCAGACAATCTATGATGAGACGTGTTGAAGCCTGTATTCAAGTTAGAGGTAATCATTTTGAGCACTTCCTGTAACCGTAATTATCTTAATTCTGTTGAAAAATAAAACAAGCTATAACTTAAAACCACGGTCATATCGGACATATGCTTATATGAATTTTTTCTCTTATTTTTGTGTCTTGAATCTCTTATTGCAATACTTCCCACTTTTTAGGATACACCCTGTATATGGATGTGATTTTTTGTTAAAGATTTATTCAACAGAAAGGAAATTCTTTTTTAGAAAGAATTTTATAAACAGTATTTATTTACAAAGCTTATATCATATTGAATTTCAGCGGACACAATCACAACGTGTCTTAAAGAGGGTTTCTACTTTGTTAGCATTGAAAAATAGGCAATTTTTCGAAAATTTTAGGAAAGGAACTAATAAAGATAGAATGATAAAATTTGGTATCCACAAAAATATATCTTTATTGAATAAAGAAAAAATCACCATGTTATTTGAAGCTGTGGGGGGCCGAGTGGACGGATCAAGCAGCCCGGTAAGATGAGTAGATGGTGGAATTTCCAGAGCCTCCAAAAATTATCTGAAACAAAAAAATCGCCCATTTTTATAATCTGTAGATGTTTGCGCATAAAGTAGACTAGAATAAAAAAAATATAAAAAATTTTGAGTGAGTTATGGTTACTCAAAGGCAGTCGTTTTTTGTGGAAAAATGTTTTTCTTCCTTTGAGTAACCATAACTCACTCAAAATTTTTAGATTATAAAACTGGTCGATTTTTTTGTTTCAGATAATTTTTGGAGGCTCTGGAAATTCCACCGTCTACTAATATCACCGCTGCTTGATCCGCCCACTCGGCCCCCCACAGC